ATAGCTAGAATTTTTTTGGTTCTTGATTAACCTGTAGATATATATATATATTGTGTGTGCATTGGTTTGAATGCTATTTTGATTCCAATTTCAAGTAACTTTGAATAAATCTCAAGTTTCATAAAAGAATATAAAATGTTCTGATTACCAATCAACTTTACTTCTAAAAATGAAACCAAACAAGATTAACTTAATTGAATCCTAAAAATGAAACAAAACAATTTTATTAAAATGTTCTGATTTATTACCAATCAATTTACTTTCTTCTGTTTGGTTTCTCGTCAATCTTCTACAGATCAGGATAAGATGATCACATAAATATCTTTGATCAAATCGAAGTATAGCTAGCTCCAATTTAGTCTATTTCATAATATATCATGAAAACGACCATGTGAACATCTCGATCATAATATGTACGATGATATGTTGCTAGTCGAACAAGTTGGATATAAAACCACTTAAATTTTTAAAGATTGCGTGCGTGCAAGCAGAGGCCAGTGTGAGGGTGACAACATATGCATGTGCCTAGAGGAGTCGATGATCATGTTGGTTTTATTAGCCATTAAGGAAAATCAAAATTTCTTAAGAACAGATATATAATTGTCATGGGAGTACCAGACTCTCATTTTATTCTGATGGAATATAATTAATTTATCCTATACAGCTGTATATATTGCCATCAACTGGAAATTAAGCAACACGCATTCGAAAATTAGGAGAAAAATAGAAGGCATTAATCAAGCAATATGTTGCTATCATGTAATCATTAAGTTGTCTGCAAAATATCAGCTTATAGGAGATAAAACAAATGTACATGCATGCATATGGTTTGTTAATTAAGCAAGAAGCCAAGCCTTTGTTACCAACCACATGTATATATCCATCCTTACCATATGATTTGTCGAACAACTACTGATAGTGTTGAGGTCGATTAGCTGGCCAGCCTTTGCTTTGCCCATCGACAAATAAAAAGTTACTTTATTCTCAAAAGCATGTAAATCATATGAACACTAAACTTCAAATTAAATTGTTCCCTTTTCAGCCTTGGCCTTATCGGAACTAGACCACTTGTGATATGGTGCAAAGGTTGAAACTATTATTGATTTATAAAAATTAAAAAGTACATCAGGAAAATTTGCATTAAGTGCATTTATAATCTTGACAAATGCAGTATAAATCAAAGAAGGAATAACTGGGTCCTGAAGATAGTTTTAACTGAAACTACATAAAACCTGTAGTATATATGCATGTTTCTTCGTTGAGTAAATTTTATTTTGCCATGAATTTAATTATATACTCCATTGTGCTACCATGTGTTTTTCAGAAGTTTTAAAATTATATATCTCCTTGGGTATGATATTTGAATTTTAGAACAACAAGTAAATTGTATCAAAATATATAATCTTTTTCATAGTATGCAACCACTTTTTTATCTACCCATGCGACTGAAATGTGGATCTAAAAAAAAGCATAGTATGCAACCACTTTTTTCTCCATCCAACTATATGTTTTTTCATTACTTTTTTTTAAACTTTCCTAAGGGGGACAATAGCTGCACTTATGCATTGTAAGAGGATTAATGGAGGGGAACAGACTACTCCAGTTTACCAATCTATATAGCCAAAATTTCTTATATACATTACCCCACCTAAATTTATAAAACCCATCTATTATGTCTAGGTTGTATAAAACCATAGAAACTTTGGCGTGTGGTACATAACCTCATACCTCAGATATTATAGTTCTAATTTTCACAAAACCACGTTGTTAGCCATTTTGACATGCACCTATATAAAAGAGTAAAGTGCACGGGCAGTCCTTAAAATTGTATGGGTGTGTCATCTAGATCCCTAAACTCTTAAATGCATATCCAAGTCCCATAACTTATCATAGTGTGTCATCTAGATCCCAAATCGTCACAACCCCTTTACGATCCTACGTGGCGTTGATGTGGCATGCCAGAACATGACGTGGCATCATTTTGACTAATAAATGTGACCCATTTAAAAAAAATTCTTTTTCTTTTTTCTTCTCATTCTTCTCTTTTTTTTTCCTTTCTTCTTCTTTATTTGTGACCCGAGCAGAAGAAAGGACAAAAGGAAGAATGAGAAGAAAATGAAAAGGAAAAAGGAAAAGAAAAGAAGAAAAAAAAAGGAGAAAAGGACCGTCACGTCCATGTGGCATAAGACATCAGCGCCACGTAGGATCCTAGAGGGGTTGTGTTGATTTGGGCCCTAGATGATACACTTTGACATGTTATGGGATCTGTATCTGTATTTTAAGAGTTTAGGAACCTAGATGACACAACATTACAAGTTTAAGGACTGCCTATACACTTTACTCTATATAAAATTTTAAAACAAGCGGGTGCAACAACTACATTATGGATAAAATCCTCATAAATCTAAGATGTGAAGCTCAAAAGTATTATAGATCAAAGTCAAAATGATCAATAATATGGTTTTGCAAAACTTTCGTAACATAATATGTGTTAAAATTCGTATGGTTTCGTATAACTTGGATTGGATCATAATACGTGGAGTTTGTGTACCTACGTGTTAAAATTCATGCGGTTTTGTATTCTGGATCATGATACATGCATGAGGGTTTTACGAAAGAGTATTCTTAACATATACTCCCTCCGTCCTAAATTACAGGACGTCCCCTTTTTAAGAAAATTTAAACTCTGTAGCTTTTGACTAATAATCATACTAACTACATCTATATATAGTAAGTATTATGTATGTTATATCACTATTTTCATATTTTAGAGTACTTTCATGTGATGCTAATTTCATATTTATTAGGATTATAGAATGAAATAAAATATTGGTCAAAGTATATACGTTATATATTGAAGACAGATGAAGTACTGTATATTTTACGGCTCGATGGATATGGATGATCCGATCGAGTGGAGTTGATCGCAGCTAGTAATTAATCCAGCTACGTAAGCAATAATCCAAGACACAAGCCATGTTTCGCGGAGCTTTGCTGTCTCCTTGGTCGATCTGCCAGTGTGGCTCTGCTCTTGCCTCTAGCTAGCTTCTCAACAAATTATGTCAACCCGCGCATGCCGTTGAAACTCTTGTCCTTCGCTAAAACTACACGACAGCATTCAATATATATCTCCATCATCTCGATCTGATTCTTTAATTTAACATGGATCTAATTATTTTGATCCTGCTACACACACGATAGAGACCTTAATTGATTAGCTTTGCGTTAATTAGGCTATAGCTTGCCAACCATATATGCATATATATCTACGCCTGCCTGCATGAACACACTGCAGGATGGGGGTTTTAATTTGATGATCACATATATAGCTAACTTAGCTAAAAATTGTAAAACCGAAAGGGTACTCGATCTTGTCCATACAGATTTGACTTTAGGTTAATTAACCCGGCCGTAATCTCTCGAGTAGTTTTGACAATTTGGCCTTTTTAGAAATATTTTTTTTTACAAATAGATCGAGATACTTAATGTGATGTTTTTCTTTTTGAAAACTGGATCATAGACATAAAAACTGAACAATTGTAAACTGTTATACCATGAAAACATTTGTGTGAATGAGATTAATGTTCAACCTCGCTTTTCATGGAAAAATTATGCAACCCCTTCTCTATCTAGATGAGTTGAGTTGTCCATCCTAAAATCGATTTTGTGCGTTGAAATGTGTGTTTATTAAACCTTGAAATACTTACTGATATGTAGGAAATATTTAAGTTTGGCATGTGAAAATAACATTTATGTATAGACTTGTCATGATAAATATTGTCGTACAACTAGTTTATTTAGTAACTTATGAATATGATTAGAAAAAAAAATCAATAATCAAACATTTGCATCGTGTCTACAAGTCACTTAAAAATATAGAATTGATGGGCGGGTTGTTTTCAGCAAATATGATCATGGGAATCACCGATAATATGGTGGTAGAATTGTGGATCCACCACACCCAAAACTCACAAAGGCTTAAATCTCAACGCTCGTAAATATTACCACATAAGTTTATGTGCTTCCAATAACACATTTATAGTGAGATCATGGATTTACCGCTGACCCAAGTTAACTCTCTTAGCGTGTGTTATGTTGAGTTGTGATCCAAATGTTTTTAACGATCCAACTTGGTATGGATCGTCATCCCTTTTAGGGTTCCACCATATATATATATCTCTTGTAAGCCGCCGTGCGGCGATGTAACCTCACCTTAGATATAGTGAAGATATTTTGCTGGCTGGCGCCCGTGGTTTTTTCTCTCCTGTTTTGGGAGGGTTTTCCACGTTAAATCTCGTGTCTTCTGTGTTTGATCTATTGTTATTTATCGTTTGTTCGCCCATCGTTTCCTAACATGTTAGAGGACATATTCTTAACCGTGTGGGTATGGTGTGCGTGTGTAGTGGTGTTTGTGCGCGGCCTCTAATATCATGTAACAAAAAGAAATAAGATCATTCTCGCAAGAAAAGAATAATTACTCCCTCCTTCCCTAAATGTTTGACACCGTGGACTTTTTTAAATATGTTTGACCATTCGTTTTATTCAAAAACTTTTATGAAATGTGTAAAACTATATGTATACATGAAAGTATATTTAACAATAAATCAAATGATACAAAAAGAATTAATAATTACTTAAATTTTTTGAATAAGACGAACGGTCAAATATTTTTAAAAAAGTCAACGGCGTCAAACATTTTGGGATGGAGGGAGTAATATGCATGCCGTCGATGGTTCTATTTTGATGCAAAACCAAATACCGTTTCCTTTTCTTGTTCACTTGTTTTAAACTGACCCGCCGGTAAAAATGGAAACAAAATTACCCCAACTACGGCGGTCAAACCCCCCGACCCCGCCGCCGCGCCGACCTCCCCGCCGGCGGCCGCGCGGTGAATCCACCCCGAGGGCAAACCCGTCATTTCACCCCCCGCGGTATAAATTACGCGAGGATGCGTGCGTCCGTACGTATACTTGTGCGTATAGAGTATATATATATATATATATATTTGTCTCTCTCTCTCTCTCTCCATCGATCTCTCCTCCTCTCTCTCCAAAGCTCACTGCCCCCGCGCCACGCGCGTCGCGTCGCGCGCCGGCGAGCCAGCCATGAGGAGCCCTAGGAGGCGGCGCGGCGTCCACCCGGCGGCGGCGACGGCGCCGCCGTGTTCCGCCATGGCGAGCGGCGCGGCGAGCCCTCGCTCGCCGCCAGCGGCGAAGAAGCGGGCGGTGGTGGTGGCTGGCGACGGCGACGACTCCGACGTGTTCGACCGGCTCCCCGACGACATCGTCCTCGTCGTGCTCTCCAGGCTCGCCGCCAACGCCGCGTCCCCCGCCGACGTCGCCTCGGCGGCACTCACGTATGTGGCTGCTGCTGCTGCTGCTCTGTTTTTTTTTTTATTCCCCCTCGGTGTCGTGTTCGTCCGTCGAGGCGAAGAGATTTCTCATGGGTGCGCGCGCGGGCGCAGGTGCAGGAGGTTCCGGGAGCTCGCGACGCACCCGGCGGTGCTGTCGCGCGCGTCGGCGGCGGCCGTCGCGGTGCGGTGGGGCGCGTGGTCGGAGGCGGCTCACCGGTTCTTGCGGCGGTGCGCGGCCGCCGGCAGCCTCCACGCCTGCTACTTCCTCGGCATGGTGAGAGTCACCCAAGCTCCCCTTGCTCTGCTTCTTTGCTCTGTTTTTTTGTTCGATCTCGTCGGCTGATGGCGGCGGCGGTGCAGGTGAGGTTCTACTGCCTGGGGAGCAGGGCGACGGGGGCGGCGCTGCTGGGGCGCGCGGCGGGCGGCGGGCACGCGCCGGCGCTGTACGCGCTGGCGGTGGTGCAGTTCAACGGCAGCGGCGGGGGCAAGGCGGACAAGGACGCGCGCGCGGGCGTCGCGCTGTGCGCGCGCGCCGCGTGGCTAGGCCACACCCCGGCGCTCCGCGAGCTCGGCCACTGCCTCCAGGACGGCTACGGCGCCCGCCGCGACGCCCCCGCCGGCCGCCGCCTCCTCCTCCACGCCGCCGCCCGCGAGCACCTCTCCTGGAAGAAGCACAACCACGGACACCACGACGGCAGCGCCGCCGAGGACGCGGTGAGCCGGTTCATGGTCGCGTGGTGGGACTCGCACCGCGCCAAGGCGGCGGCGCGGGGGTGCCTCCCTGGCGAACACGGCGACGGCGAGCACGACGGCGGCGAGGACCTGCGGCTGTGCTCGCACGCGCGGTGCGGGCGGCGGGAGACGCGGCGGCACGAGTTCCGGCGGTGCTCGGTGTGCGGCGCCGCCAGCTACTGCTCGCGCGCGTGCCAGGCGCTCGACTGGAAGCGCGCCCACCGCGCCCAGTGCGCCGCCGCGCGCTGGCTCGCCGCGGCCGCCGCCGCCGCCGACGGCGTCGCGCACTGAGCGCGACACGTCGCGCATCCATGTACATACACACACACCCCTGTACACACTAGCTCAACTCACCAGTGTAAATACGAGGTTTAATACTTCAATTAGATTAGTGAGGGATAATAATGACTAGTTAACTTAGGCACTTATGTATTCTTGCTTAATAATTTAATTAGTCGCTTTGGCTAGTGGTTAGGGAGGATAGTGATTAGTGAGCTGTTTAAGATGTTAATGATGATGGTTTAATTTGTTTGTGTTTGTGTAGTGTGAGCTAGCTGTTTTGGATGTTAGGCAATGCATGCCATCGGCGTGTGTAGGGGTTCTTCTGGTGTAAAGGAGAAGAAAAAGGTTTGTGTGTTGCATTTGCAAATGGTTTTCTTGTGGTGTGCATAAGCTTTTGTTTGTGTCAAGGACCAACCTATGTTTGTGTCTCTTTCGAGTAGACTTGGATTAGATTTGGTGTCGTCTTTCCATAATTAGTTTAATTTGCCCTACATAATTAATAAGAACTTTGGTTTTGTTATATAATAGTGCAGAGCATGTAGGAACATGTGTATTATTAATCCATAAAAAATGTTCGAAAAATATGACCATATGTGCACGGCACAAGAAAAATCAAAGAAACTTCAGTTGCAAATAATCGATTTGACTAATATGGTGCTTCATTTATTATTTCCCTAAGAAATCATGTTTATCACATTCATGAACATATTGGTAACCTTTTTATAAGTACGCAAATGCACAAACCTAATGTACAATATAAAGTCATCCTTGTTTCCTTGGCATGCAGTGTCATTTCCAAATTTGAGCTCAGAGCTCATTGGTAAATGGAGAATCTTCTTTCTAAGTTTCAACAAGTGTTTGTTGTACATCACCCTTTTTCAGATTGAAACTTTCATTTCCCATGTAGGAATTTCATAGGATTCAAATCCTATAGGAAATTTATCTACTCGGCCCTTTAATTCAAAGGATTGAAGTTTTTCAAATCCTATAAAATTTCTATGGAATGACACATTGTATGTGAATTTTGGAGGAAATATAGCAAGAGCTTTAACGTCTTGGAAAATTCCCTTTGAGTCTATCTCTCTCATCCGATTCCTGCATTTTTCCTGCGCTCCAATCAAACGACCATTCATGTGTTTTTCCTGTGTTTTGCAATCCTCTATTTTACACTTCAATTCCTATCAGAATCATCTGTTTTTACTATTCCTCCATTTTTTCAACCCTGCGATTTAAAGGGGCCCTTAGGTCGAAACAGGGATTTGGAAAAAATATATATGTTTTCACTCCAAATTGTGTTTTAATTTGGAATTTCCTATATGCAAGTTTGCATTGAACCTTTCCAACTGAAAGTTTCAGATTTCTTATGCTGAAAATGTCTGAGATCCTTGTGTTTTCCTTTGAGATGAGAACTTCTCATGTTCCATGTAAAATTTTAAATATATGTTTGTATTAGCTCCGTTTCATTAATCGTTTTTACCTTAATTTCATGTACACAGTCTAATTGTAAATCAATTAACTGTGGGGCTCATCCACAATTCTTCATGCAAGTTTGATTTATTGACTAAGGCATAACTAAGCTCCTTCCAGCTTTGTTATATACAAATGAAGGAGCTTTGTTATATACAAATAGAGTAAAATGCACCAGCGGTCATTAAACTTGTCAGAAGGTTTCACTTAGGTCCACGAAATTGCAAAGTGTACATCGAAGTCCCTAAACTTGGTTTATTGTATCATCCCGGTCCAAAGCCGCGTTTGACCGTGGTTTTGCCTACGTGGCACGCTACGTGAACGATGACATGGATTTTTTTTATTTTTTTCTCCCTTCTTCCTTCTTTTTTCACCACTGCGACAACCCCTCCCCTCGTGCCGCCTCTCACCACCGAGAAAAAAGAAGGAAGAAAGAGAAAAAAGAAGGGAGAAAAAAATAAAAAAATTCCATGTCATTATCCACGTGGTGTGCCATGTAGGTAAGACCACAGTCAAACGCAGCTTTGGACCGGGATGATACAATAAACCAAATTTAGGGACCTTGATGTGCGCTTTGCAAGTTCGTGGACCTAAGTGAAACCTCCTGACAAGTTTAAGGACCGTTGGTGTATTTTACTCTATACAAATACATGGGCACAAAGAAGCCTCTTGTTCTGCCTGAAAACCATGGATGCAGAACTGCAGATGCATGGAATGCCTGTTTGGCCAAGGAAACACCTTTGTTAAAAGAGAGAATGAGAATCTGATTCTGTAAAAAAAAAGTATGACTCATTCATTTTTCTTTTGTGTGTGTATTTGGTGAAAGCAACAAATCTATTTCTTACATACTACTAGTGTATATGCGCTCTCTCTCTCTCTCTCTCTCTCTCTCTCTAGATTTCTCTCTTAACAGGGAATAATTCCTCACTTTTGAGGCTGTATCCTCACCATTAATTCTTAATAATGAAGAACCTGGTCTGGTTCTCGCGTGTAGGTGTAGCCATGGAAAGATTCTGATCCAGATGTTATATGCTCTAAAGATGTTTTCCTTCTGATCTGCAGCTGATCTGAATAGTGAAGGAATTAATGGTATTGGGAGAGAACTATTCATAAAAAGGCAAAGTGGTTATTATGTACATGTCCAAGAACCTATTGGCTCGACCATATTGCAAGAATATCATATCAATATTCTTGCACTAGAACAAGCCAATGCAAAAAGGAAGGAAACTGAAAAAAAGGAGAGTGCTACATCATATTATTCATGATTTATTTATACATATATAGAAAAAAAAACTCTAGTACTAGATATAACATAATTAACGAATCCGACGATCCTGTTTCAATTATCACGACGATGAAAAAGGTCATTCCCATTAAGCCAAGTCAGCAAAAGCTGAATAAGCGTTAGCATGACAAATCATAGGTGGCATGGTTGGCCTAACAAGAATCCTTAAGAATTTTCTGGCCATTCTGAAAGGAAAATGAAGGAACCAAACTATGGTCCCATGAGTAGATTATCATCAAGGATCAAATTGGCTCTTCACCCTCAGGTTAGCCTTAAGATAATAATATGGTAGAGTATAAATAAAGTTTAGCTTATCCATGACCTAACTTTAGGGGTGGCTAGCTTGAGGACAACCATGTAAAAATTAGGTCCAAATCTACGACATGCTAAAGGACGACCTATTCTGCAATAAAAAATCGACTAAAATAAAACCTTAACAAGCAGAAATGCTATAGCAACTCAAGTACAAATTTTAGTAACATATTATAATAATTCATACAGGGCTGATTGCATGGAATAAATTAGTCAGCCCTACGCCTGCGTATCTTCTAATTCTCCATGTCTACTTGACAACTTCATCAAGTCAAAAACATGGCTTCACATAGTGATACCATCTAAGTATATTTGCCTAATTTACATACAAACCATTTAAGTTCTCTTTTAACACCACCTATATGATACAAGCTTGGCTAGCTTAGCCAGTTTTGCTACGAGGAACTGCATGACAAACCAAAGGTTTCTTCATCTCCATAGAAAGACGGAGGCACTCCGTAAGTTTAACCGGCTGAGCCGCTGCCCACTTATACTCTTGCAACATCCGGCCAAACCATAGATAGGCAGTGGAGAGACCCATCATCCGTCCAGGGCACACCCGACGACCTGATCCAAACGGTGCCAACCTTAAATCTGATCCCAACACATTGATATCCTCTTCCATAAACCTTTCGGGTCGAAACACCCATGGGTCACCCCATATCGTCTCATCATGGGATATGGCCCACATATTCACCATTGCCGTAGTCCCTGCGGGTACTAGGTGCTTGCCCACATAGGTATCATGCACCGCCAAGCGGGCCCATGAGAGAAGTGGGCCAGGCGGGTGCATGCGGAGGGTTTCCTTGATGACACAATGGAGGAAGCGAAGGTTGGGGATGTCCGAGTCGGTCATGGGCCGGTGGCCCACCGCCCTATCTAGTTCTTCTTGCACCTTGGACTGGATGTCTGGGTGGAGTACCATCCGGGCCATGGCCCATTCCAGGAGTATTGCAACTACATCTGTCCCACGAAAGATCATCTCCTGCATCCAATGGACAAGACCAAACATTAGAAAGAGTGATGTTTTTCCTACCTGAAGAAACGACAGTGCCTTTGTTATTTTGCTACTAGTGTTGAAAGTCGAAACATCATAAAGGGACATACTAGTGGTACTAAGCGCTGTCTGTCACTTCATTTTCCCTCAAATCTTGTCCATGTCTCAATCAATAATTGGCCAAATGAATTTGCTCCTAATAATTAGGAGCTTCTGCGAGATGACCCACCCATTATTTTTGCCTTTCGAGGTGTGGGCCAATTGATCTCACGTAATCCCTCCATTACAAATTGATCTACATATATTTCATAGGTACACCAAGACCAAGAAAAGCTAATAACTCTCTCATACTATATTTACTCTAGCAACAAATTCTATGCATGCACCATTCCCACTATTTCCTAGCCAATAGCAAATCAAGATATTGCATGTGAGTTATAAATACTTGTGTGCATGGATGCATGCATCAATGTCCATTTACTCCAATGCACAAATAACAAATATACTTAATGAATAAACACAAATATATAGATCATTTAGAAATAACCTCAAAAAAATTATATGTAGATCAATTTGGAATGGAGGGAGTATTAGTTATTAATGCAAAATAGTCCAGCTTATTAAAAAAACTTGCATGAAAGTGCATATGAATTTAGGTCATAAATAAGTACTCCCTCTGTTCCAAAATATACCAACTTAGAACCGAATTGGATATATTTTAACTAATACTACGGGGCTATATATATTTTGGGACTAAGGGAGTAATCAATAAAGACCAGTGAAGAATGAAATATATTGATTAATTATTGAATCCAAAAAGTTATGTTTATTGTGTAAAATAAAAGGACCATGATAATATATAGGAGTACCAACAAAAATCCAGCATGACTAGCTTAAACTAACTTTATTGTACTGATTAATTTATTAACGTGATTGTACATAAAGTACAATTGAGGTACGACTATGTAGAAATTTATGCATTATTATCACTTACTTATTTGGTGCTCTATCCACTAATTTTTGCACCAATTGTCAATAAATTATTACCCCCACTCCCAAAAAAAAGTGCCACGGCCACAAAAATTAGTTTAACCCTACTTCCAAGCCAATTTTTGCCTCACTCATGCACATATACTCCCACCGTTTTTAAATATATGATATTTTTTACTTTTTAACATGATATTATAACATTCTCTTCATTATTAAAAAAAATTAGTATAGCTATAAAAAGAATAAGTCATGTCTATAGTACCTTTATCGATAAAGCGGGTCTCACAGCAAAATAAGTTATATTTAGATATTTTTTTAATAAGACAAATGGTTCAACGTCATATCTAAAAAATCAACAGTGTCATATATTTAAAAGGAAGATGCTACACGACGGTATCCCGTTCGAACGGGATGACACCTCTGAGGTAGTATCGCCTGGTACCCGATAGGTATCGGCTCATCCCGTCCTATAGCATCCCTCTATTTAAAAACGAAAATGGAGATAGTAATATAAGACTGAGGTAGCAGCAAAAAAAGATGGAGCTAGAGAACATGTAAGCTCACCCAGAGGACAGCAATGACATCAGAGTCCTCAATCCTCTCCTCCTGTGGCATGGAGAGCATGTAGCTAAGAAGATCATCCCTCTTGTGCAGGTCACTCACCTTCCTCCTCTCCTCCATCACCCTCCCAAACTGCTCCCTAACCCTAGCTGCCAGCCTCTGACACCTGGGCCCCACCCCATGGAAATCCAGCAACCCCCACAGGCACTGGTACTGTGTAGTACTGTAGTAGTCTCCTAGGTTGAACTTGCCAACCAGCTCGTACCCTTCCCTCACCATGTCACCCATGTCGCTGATGACGCCGCCATGGTGGTCATGGTGTTCGAGCCCTAGCACGCTGCCAACCATGTTGTCGAGGGAGGCGGCGTGGAGGAGGGCGCGCATGGCGACGCGGCCGGGCGGCACGGCCATGCCGCGGGACACGGCCTCGGACGTGCGGCGCGCGACGCGGGCGCGCAGCGCGGCGAGCGCGGCGGCGCGGCGCGGGGAGAGCATGCCCGCGCCCGCGGCGCGGCGGAGGCGGCGCCAGTAGGCGCCGCCGTCGTCTCCGGAGGCCGGGGCGAAGCCGACGGCGCGGAGGAACATGAGCTCCCGCGCCGCGGCCCTGGCGGGACGGTCGCGGAACGCGGCGCCGGCGAGGATCTCCCGCACCGTGTCCGGGTGGCTGCTCACCACCACGGGCGTCGCGCCGAGCGTCAGCGACATCAGGCGCCGCGCGCCGCCGCCGTGCGCGTCGGCCAGCGCGGCGAGGCGGCGGTGCATGAGCGGACCGGACACCACCGGGAGCGACCCCAGCAGCGGCCACCCCCGCGGCCCGGGAATGGCAGCGCCGCCGCCATTAACCCGGCGTGCATGTCCATGGCGTTTCGCAAGAAGCGGCGGCAAGGCGACGACCGCCATGGCCAGAGAGAGATACAAGAGAGAGAAGAGCCATGGAAGCTGTGAAGAGCTAGGGTTTATGGTTGTGGTGAAGAAGATGAGGAGCAAGAAAATGGTGGAGAGTACTTCATTCCTCATGGTAATTAAGCTAGGGGAAGAAGAAGAAGAAGAAGAAGACAAAGCTATAGTAATTAGGGTTTAATTCCTCTAACTATAGATAGCTAACCTTAACTAGAGTGAGTAGTGAGTAATGATATTAATTTTACTAATGGATGAAGCTAATGCTACATAGGAGGGAACAAGCAAAGCACAAGAGAGATTTAGTTGTGTAATATGTGTTGTTGGTTATTTTGTTAATTGGTTGGAACTTGGAAGCTAGCTAGAAGTGGGCACAAGGAGCTTGCTTTGCTTGGGACAAATTAATGGGCTTATTTATAGTGAGGGTGAGAGGCTGTGGTTGGTTGGGGTAAAGTTTGTGCATTTTGCTAGTGCTCTATCTTTTCTAACTAATGGCTGGATATGCAGGCATAGTTAATTGGGCCTCTGAGGCTCAACTATTGTGGCAATGGATATGTATTTAGCTATAGCTTGTTTTGCTACATTGTTATGGCATGGAAGTTATACTGTGAGTAATGACTTATGTCTCAGTTATAGTGTGTGCCACTATAAAATAAGGTCATATAGACCGTGACATCTTGTCCCAAACGATTCCTTAAATATATACCTCAAAATAAATGTTATATATTACAGCTCGGAACTCTCCCCCTCTCTGTGCTAATCCACAAGCAACCAACATCACAGAGTCAAATCTCTCCTCTCCAATTTCTTCCTTTTTCCATTGAGCCAAATTGCAACACTCAAACACCACATCGTGCAGTAGCAAGCCACACACAAGCACTAGCAGCAGCTGCTGCAGCTGCTCCCCATCGACGTGCCACCGCTGTGGAGTGCTCAGGCACCACTGGCAGCAGCTTAGCCATGGTGTCTGGACGAGGCGCACCTAGCAGGAGGTTTCGCCTGACGACCACGGCCACCGGCGGTTGGGACTCTCTCGCCCCACGCCTGCCATCTTGAGCCGTGGGCGCATCGCCTGTGAGACGCCGTGGAGGGAGAAAGAGGAAGAGATAAAGGAAGAAGAGAGGAAGACGAAAAGAAAGGAGGGGCAATTTGGTCATTTTGTGTAGAAATTTGGGCCCCATATCGACTCGTCAGCACGAATACACTATTTTAATGGACACAGTGTCCTCTGGCAAATAACCAAGGTTAGATAGTGTTTTCCCTCAAAAGTGACTTTGTGCGGTGTCCTACAGCTAAAACCACAAAGTCGCGATGTCCTGTAGTAAAATGTGCCATAACTATATCGTGGTGACAAAGACAAATATCAGATATCCATTGATCATACGATAATTTTTAGGTATGTACTACATAATTTCCCACGTCATTCCGACATAGTCTTCACATCCATGTCTCAATGCTTGTGAAAAATATATAAAAATAAAAAAATGGATATACTTTATTGGTGAATTCTTTTACAAAAGAAACATGATTCAAAATTCAATCAATGGTCTCTATTAGGAAAATGCATGCCTAAGACGAATTCCCAAAAGAGCATTAGTCTCCACTATGAAACCGGTCATTCATAATGGGTTATAACCCTCATCTGTGTCGGCGGAGGGCCTAGTCATTGATTAATGGTCAGTGATGTGTAAAAGACATCTGTGTTGGACGAGCAACTATCACCAATGTAACACAACCTATTAACAATAAGCTATATCCAGAGTGCGAGACCTATCTAAAGTCCCATCATGGATGACTTAACTGTGATGGGTTCCAGCTCTAACCCATCAAAGATGACTCGTTCACATTTGACGGGGTACATAAGAGCTTGTCATACATAACTCATCGGTGTCGGCTTCAAGATGCAAACCAATAAATATGTTGTTCACTCGTGACAAGGTTGTGTTATAACCTGACACTGATGAGGATTTTCAAAAAAAAATCATTTTATTGCCTCAAATTTCATATCATGTAGTGCACATATCAAGTGTGTCTATCGCGCCTCGTACACGATGTTTGTGCCGATGCACACACCGCAGTCGCAGCCCTTGTGTCACCGTCCATGACCCCATCGTCATCGGCCTTACATGTCCGCGACGCCATGTCACACTCGTTGGCTTCGCCTTTCCGACACTGGCCTCCCGACAACCGTGGCGCGATAGCCGCGTGCATCGGGCGTGTCGTTGATGGCGCTACCCCTCCGATCTCTCCGGTCGCCTCCGGCCATGCCTAGCCCCATCTTCCGGTCACATTCCGCCATCGCCGGTTTGATCATGAGCGAGATCATCGCCTCTGCGACGTCCTCGCTGTCGCCATCGATCTCATCACCATGGCTGGCGATCTCTTGTCGATGCTTGATTCCCACCTCGTGTTTCCTACTCTACATGTCTTCTTGATCCAATGTTAAAACGTTCTGCTGTGATAACACTTCTTGCAAAATTTAGTCGATATAGCAGAACGACGGCTAACCTTCTCGATCGCTTCAGTTTGATCACCCAAGACACGCCAGATGACAACACAGGAACACATGATTGTTAACGCCAAAATTTGGTAAGCCCAAAGTCATCATCGGCTTAGAGTCAGTATCGGCTTCAGAGTTACGGAATCAGCCGATGGGAGTCATCAAATCGTCAACAATTGTCTTCTTGATGAAGTCAGATCAACTAAAGGAAGCTTATCTAGAAGAGTCCGAGTTCAAGGAGGATGTGGCATGGTAGTTTATCTATTAATTAGGCAGTATTTGTTAGTTTCCTTTTATCTTTAGGAAAGTACGTTTAGTGTCTGATAAGGACTATGTTTTCCTTTTATCTTTAGGAAAGTTTCTTTCTTGTCCGACAAGGAATAGTATCTACCCACGGGTATAAATATGTACACCCGGGGTCTATGTAAAATATCACACACACAGATCAATACAACTACTCTCGGCGCATAGCCACCCTCTTTACCGAGGTTTTTACTTATCATCCGGCAGAACTTAGCACCTGACGTGGGGCTGCATCGGTTTTCGATCTCCGGCGAAGGGGTAAGTCCTACGTTCCACCGGCCTTGATGAATCTATCGGCTACGTTGGTGTTGTTCAAGGCTGCATCGCTTTGATCTCTTGGATCGCTCTGGTTTGGTTGATATATTTACCTACCTGATATCTCAATTCTATCTCTAATTACATTGTGTTTAGAGACGCATCGGTTTAATTGGGACTGTCTCGGTTAGGTCCGATCTTCTGTATTAGCCGATATATCTCTACAATGTTGTTCTAAATAGATTTGTTATATCCATCACATTAGACAGATCTATCGGCTCATCGAGTATTAGATTATCATAGACAATCTCGTGTTGCATCGGTTAGGTTCGATCTACTAGATTGTTGTTGATAATATAAGTCTTATTAAGCCGATAGGTTCATGCCAGTGTTTTATCAGGGTGCTAGCCGATAAGTTATCTGGACGTTGCATCAGCTTATAAGGATTGCATATACATATAAGTTGGATTTAGCCGATGACGACAAAGGTTTCATTGATCTATCTAATCTTGTGGATTTTATGACATCGGACCTACAGCCGATGTATGCTTTAACCTTCGGATCAATACTTATCTATCATATCATTATCAACCGATTGGTTTCTATTGGATTATATTATTGTTATATTTTATTATCATCAGCCGATTGCCTTTATATCATTATCTACATTGGACATATAGCCGATTGCTTAAACCCTATCGTTATTAGCTGGTATCGGCATCGGCTATTATCGGCTATCAGCTAGAACTACTCCATCGGCTTGTCAGTCGATCGGCTCATTGATCTACTATTTGCATATCTTGTCTGTTGCAGGATTAAACTGACTGGCACGCCCGCATCTCATCAACTTTTGGACCTGCACTGGAGTTAAGCAGATCTCCCAGGCCAGTGTGTGTTTTTTGGCATCAACAACGATATTTGTTAACGAAGTACAACTGAAGCCTACATCTCTGGGGCTCTGATTTTAGGCACTACTTCCAATCAATATATCTCCAAGCCGCTATGAGTCCATAGCCACGGCGCCAACATCTCCCTACAACATCGCCAACATATTGTAGTCGCCATGGTTATATTGTGGTGCCCTCCTCTCTATTTAAGAGAATTGCTGGGTTACAGAGTCCGACTCTAGCTCGACCCCTACCGCCTATTACAACTACAAGTCCAACTGTAACTAAATAGGACTAGTAGATTTGACACCTATTCTATCAAGTACTCTGACGGCCACCATTGTCCGGTCTGATTGGTGCACACTGTCAGTAATCTCTTGTTCATCATTCAAAAATTCAATCATCTCGAAAACCACTTCGCCAATAATTTCTAAATATCAAATCCAATAATATCATATACCAATTGTTCATCACAAAATATCAATCAAACACACTTTGATTTTACATAACATACTAAAGCACTTCATAATAGAAAACCACTTCGCCAATAATTTTCAAATATCAAAACCAATAATTTCATATACCAATTGTTCATCATAAAATATCAATCAAACACACTTGAGTAATCTCTTGTTCATCATTTGAAAATTCAATCATCTCGAAAACCACTTCGCCAATAATTTTTAAATATCAAAACCAATAATCTCATATACCAATTGTTCATCACAAAATATCAATCAAACACACTTTGATTTTACATAACATACTAAAGCACTTCATAATAGAAAACCACTTCGCCAATAATTTCCAAATATCAAAACCAATAATCTCATATACCAATTGTTCATCACAAAATATCAATCAAACACACTTGGATTTTGCATAACATACTAAAGCACTTCATAATACATTCTCAGAAATATATTTTACTATTTTATGTCTTACCTATGAACAATTCCATTCTTATCTGTGTTACAAAGTCGTGCTCTCCCATAATCAATTATCGATGTAGGACTAACCACCTTTTACGTCGTGCTCTCCCATAATCAATTACCGATGTGGGACTAAACCCAACTATCTGGATACACAAGATCTCCATTCTGCACAAGGGAATAAGCAGAAACCAATGGATCAATTAAAAGGACTACCGAGGTAGACCACCAGAAATGTAAAATGTGTAGTTCACGTAAAAAAGGAAATGTGTAGTTCACTTAAAAGGATCTTACACACTCATGGAATAGTACGTAGCAGGTCCTAGTTGGGTCATATCCAGTGGTGGAATAGTACGTAGCAGTGGCAGAAATTTTTGAGCCCAAATAAAATTCAATATAACTAATATTTGTTATAGAAATTTTATTATCAGATTACTCATCAATATTTAAATTTAATAGATATTTTGCCGGTGAACCCAGGGCAGCAGGGCGGTTGCTCTGCCACTGATCATATCCACTCTATTAAGCTTTTTCACCAGTTAAAGATA